ACCTAACTATCACAAATACCCCGCGTAGAGCCTGTCATGTAACTTTCCTTAAAGTACGTACACGTATATATGTAATGCTCGTGTTCCGGAGTATGCATCTGATTGATAAGCAGCACAAACCCCAGCAGTCGTGCTCCACTGAACAACTGTGTCACACAATTACATCGCCACGCGGAGACGAACAAAGACATGTGCAATTTTCTTTTTTATTCGAATACACAAGTTTGCGAGTATCGAGTTTTTATTCTCTGTCATCAAACACTGTTTCTGATAAAATCTTAATTATACTTCGACCAATCTGGGTAATCAAACAGGATCCTCTGCTCGGTAGTCATGCTTGGGACCATACGAACAACTTCTGCTGACATGACAGTATTGAAGTAGTGATTCTATAACAAGCACAGCTCAATAAGTCACGCACTCGCTCAGTGGTAACATCACGACATCGAACTGTGTCATTTATTGCGGGTAGTTACGGACACTGCTCATACGTGGTAAGCTACAGGATTACATTGAATCTATATGGGTACTAATATTATATATCGTCTTTCTTAACAGCAACTGCTTATTTCAATATTTCACTACATTTTAAAGTTACTGTGACTGAGATTTAAATACAGACGAGCAGAACTGAAATCCCTCTCAGAATGTGCAACATGTTTGGTTACATTTTAATATTTCGTAGCTAAATCTCGTAGCGGCAAGGTTCGGGCGCGCGGCTTACTGAAGCAAAGCGGGCTGGCAGCAACATATTCTGGTCGCGTCACGTCGTCATGCGGTGCGCCGAACCTAAGCCCTAACACCGGCACAGCGCGCGGCGCCGCTGCTGTGCTGAAGCTGATTTTACCAATCCAGGGGTGGTTTTGTGGCACATTTTTCTAGATTTTCAAATAATAAATTCTTTCCTTGTATGTCCAAGTTTCCGTAGATGAACGAATGATACACACAGATCGATTGTTCTCCAACGCTTCGCTACATTGTGTTGTTGTAATTCAAAACGTCATTGTTTGTGTTTTGTAAAGATCCGGCCTCGGAACATGGTGAGTATTGTAAGACCGCCGGTTTCTGACACCATGACCCAATTCGCTTTGTTCGACAATACACACGAACTGACGTGCTAACCTATTTACGAGTACCCGTAGTACCTGAGTCCTAATGCAAGCAATCCATCGATATTATCTGTTTCAGTGACTGGTAAGTCGTAAGTAAGTGTTTAATTGTCGTGAAACTTGTCGTGTCTCGATGTAAGCTGACAGATTAGTAGACACGACAAAGAGCGAGGCGCTGCCAGCTGCCTCGGAGTAAGGCGAACGGTGTGCGGGGGGTGCAGGAGGAGGGAGTGGAGGTGAAGGGAGGGCTAATTTTATGCGTGGAAACGGAATTTATAGTGAGTGACAATAACTTCTCGATCGGATTCACGATAACTGATGTTTAGCGAACTAGTGAGAGTCTGGCGCTACACAGTACACACGTCTGAACCACTCACAAGTATAAACGATTACGATCATTTGAGTTGATATTGTTAAATCTGCCATAATATTTGGTATGTTAAAGAAGAATGGTTTTGTGGATTACACCTATCTCTCAATAAGAAGAGATTATGAACATGTTGCAAACATGTTTGCTCTCCCCTGGTGATGTGATAAACTACTCGATACCTGTACCTGTGTCTGGCTGAGATCAAATGTTTGTCTGGAACTCGGTGACAGACTATTGGGATTATGGCCACGGCCGACCTGAGGACTGCTCACACGTCTATATACTCGTCGATATACCCAGGGGGATAATATACAATTCATGTTTATCATTACAAAACGAATTATAGTTACATCCTTAGCCACGTACATACATAAATACAGTGCAAGCGCAGGTACCACAGGTATCTCAATATCCTGCAGCATAAATATCAATCGGTGTAAAACGGTGTGCCGTCCGTGTGAGCGGTCGTGAGTGTGTGTGTCACGCGCGCGCAATTACCGCGGCGTGAGATTCATCTCGAGTGACAAACGAAGGCTCGCCGGATTCATTAGTATTGCGACACCTGATACATTGCGCCTTCCAATTGATTCCCCTTTAATTGTCACTGGCAGTGAGACCTGCACAATGCTGTCCTTACTTTATTCGTTTTCTCTTAATTAAAACGGTACATTTTCCCTACATTGTATATTTCTCAATTTAAAATTATTCAGTACCACGTCGTCAAAATGTAACGCATGAATAAGTACCGACAACGTGTTTGGCAGTCAAATTGTTTGTTACAAAAGTGCACCAAAGTCGTTTTTCATACCCCACGCATTTTTATCCTATAAAGAGAATCAGTAAGAACAGAAGTAATACTTCAAAATGAATAGCAAGTAGTGGGTGAAGGTTCAGGAATATTGTACAGGTTTATTCAAAGTTCTCCAGTTTATTGAGCACGTTTCTACGTAATTGACTTGTTATGCCTGGATGTAGGCATCCGTGCCAATATGTCACTCATATTTCATAGTCATTACTCATTTGCAACTTTCACATTAGTACATTGCCAATTTTTATTATTTTTCGATGCCGTCTCCAGAAGTACAAGTTTCAAGTGCTTCAGAGCGCCGGTTGAGAAAGAGTAGCGGGTTGTCTCAAAATATTGTCACGCAACCATTTCTTCATGAATTGGCAGGCGGTCAGTGAAGCTCAGTAGAGCACGGTGACGCGAGGACTATGTGAGGGCTACACCAGGGCTAAGCGAGGACTAAGTGAGGGCGACGTGAGTGCGACGTGAGGGCAACGTGAGGGCGACGTGAGGGCGACGTGATCGGCTATATCTGTGCGAGTGGTGTGAGCCACCTGAGCGTGATTTACTGGCGCTGTAAAAGATACGGCCGGTACCGCGGCCCACGCACACCTCCACATTAGTGCAAGCTTTATAGCCCGAGTTGAGTACCATTTGTTTATTTGTCCGTATGTCTGATACATGAATTTTACTTTATTTGGCAGAATTTAAATAATTTAAATAATACTAAAATCTATTTCAGTAATCCAGAACTGGATTACGACACACACTTGGCCGCTAGGTGCAGTGATGCCGTCACTAGAGACATGTGTAATAGTATTTTAGTCACTTCACAAATGTCACCAAAATCACGTTAAATGAAGGCAAAATCGCCATATTTTCCCAATTTTACCGATACTCTATGATGTATTAGTAATAGCGCGAATATTTTTAGAGAACAGCACAACTCACGTGGATGTCTGCACAGCGCATCTCACCGGGAACATTAATCACGGCACATTGCCCCATCGTACGCAGCACGCGACGGCCGGCGAGCGTGAACCCTGCGTGGACCTCGCGTGGGCCCTACTGTCCTACCGGCAGTCGCAGCAGAAGTCGCGGGCAACGAGTAGTCTTCATTTAATTAAAAATAAATATTTACGCAGCCAGTCAACCGGGGGCCCTCAAAAGAAATTTATCGTGTGTGAACCTCTCACAGCCATTAACATTGTTGTTCTAGTGTTAAATTGGGATAGCTGCTTGATAGTTTGAGTGGTTCGCGTAAGTCGCTGTGTACGTCCGGCCCGGTACTAGACAGCGCGAGCGCGAATAATAAGACTACAAATTGTTTGTAAAGCTGTCTAACTCCTGTACACCCGTCCATCGTTCCATTGTCTATCTCTATTATTGAATAGTTTACAGTCGATGACAGATCTACTCAAGTCGCTGTAGACCGTTACTGACGTACGTGTGAATTACCAGCTCTATAGCGGGAGAGGTGACTGTCATGTGCTAGTTCTGTAGCATTTGAGTTATTAGTCGAGGAGCAATCAAGATGTCGGCCAATGGTTGACACCCAGACCCGAAACATAAAGTGTTGTCCCGTGCGGGAATCGAACCGGCGACACGTTGCACGGCAGCCGGTTGCCCAGCCACCGCACCGTGATACCTCCAGTGTTGTTCACAAGTACACGTTAATACAACTTATCTATCCGCAGTTGTTGTTGTTTGAACTCGAGAGAGGTCAGCAGACATTATACGAATCCTAATAATAATCGTGCATATTTAGATAACATAGCGTCTGTGTTGGTGTATACAACATGTAACGTCATTAACGCACACCCTCAAACACCCCAATTAGAATATTATGTTATAATCATAATAGATACACTAAATTTTTAATTTAACATGTATATGCATCCTTACTGGTCTTGTCATAAGGTTTACTTTTCTTTATTTTTAACCGACTTTATGTATTGAATGATAGAATTTGTATGAATACAAATAAAACTGCGTTATTAAAAGTCTTATTGCTTTGACTTACGGTCCATTTCGATTTGTTTTAACAATACAGGGTTAATATGACAATAATTTCCGTAGTTTTAATTTATATTGGGATAAAAAATTACCTATACTAAAAGTTATGTAAATCGATAACTGTAACGATTCTGAACAAACTGTTTTCAGGATGTGCGTTATTTAAGTTACATGTTGTATAAGCAAAACGTTATAAATACTAGTAACATGTATTTTAAATGAAAGTGTAAATGTTGTACCGCTGAGCAGTGTCGGTGTCCGCCTGTCTGTACCGGATTATACATTTATACTTGTTTACGTTAACTCTGCTCATCGTCATACGTTGATGGATTGAAAGTATTATGCTGATGAAAACACGCCTCGTAAACTGGATCATCATACAGAAAATATTCAACATTTTATACTTCATCGGTTTTATTGCAAATAAAAATTGCGAGATAATTTGAAACGGGCTTTGTAACGTTACACGTAGTTTGGAATTTGGCGATACAATGAGAGCAATGTCATCGCGTGAATCATTCCTGTGCGCATTCATTAAGCCAGTACTTGGAGTATAATTAGCCGTGTTGCGGTGTCGGTGTGCTGTGCAGGTATTTATCACATACTGCAGGCACTCGCTCCGCCAGACGTTGCGGTGGTCCCGAGTCGTTGACATCACATGACATCATAAAGGACGACATACGTCACTCAGATCATTACATACTCAGTCGGTACTTACGTGTAGGTTGTCAAATCGGTTAGAAGTACAGAGGTCCTGCACGGGCGGTGGGCAATTGCTGACGCAGTTGCCCCACCATCCGGTGTCCTCCTCCTCGTCGTCTTCGATCCCGCCGAGACCGCCGGTGCCATCTGCTTGCCCTTCTGCTGACAATAACATTGCATTTGTAACAAATATAGCACAACACATTGGCCCCGAGGAAAAATAATAAGCTAATGATCAAGTTACTTATGTTCACACTAATGAAACAAAGTTAACACTAACAATAACAAACTACTTGTAGAACTAAAGTGGTGTTCAACAATCCCACCCCAGTAGAGCGCAGCTCCTCAGTAATTAGTTAGAAGGTAAAATAATTTGACTGCAAGTACTATCGGCGGCAGCAATACATGCACACGGTGTACCTACACCAGTGAGGGCCTACAGTTTCGTTATTAATATATAGTACAAACGAATTCCTCTGTTTGTTACATTTAATACAAGTTAAACAAATGTTTCGGTGGAGGCCGTTATTATTATCTCATTTGCCCGGAGTGGAATGGGCTGAACTCGAGCTTTGCCAAAAAATGGGCAGCAATTTTTACCAAAATCTTTTCCCTATAATCGTTTTAGCGGCTTTTTAAGATGGTATTAGGTGTCAATAATTGGCAATAAAGTTACATCGTTCATGTTTTTTTATAAAATGAGGAGAAATTGTTGCTTTTCAGTATAATATAGAAGAAGAAGAAGAAGAAGATTGTTACTTGTAGATAAATAGATATGTACGCAAAGTATTGCAGACTTTTTGAACGAAAATGTAACAAAGCTGTGTGGACTGGGTGCGGAGCGGCGCCGGGAGCGACTGGCCGCTGTACAAATAATATCTGAGCGAGCATTGTCACTGAAACGATAGAATTTTCTCGTCAAGTGACACATTCATTTGCAAGCTCGAACTGGTCGACAAAAGAACCTGCAGGAGAGCCATTAGACGGCCGGTCGCAGCCTCGCAGGGATTGATCGGGAATGCTTTGGACTGTTTGCGGAAATAAATCAAAGTAAATATTTTTGTTGCCATTACTTTGTACACAAATCTCGATCTGTTAGCAGCCTCGATCCTCACGGTTTGTCTTTGCTTATTGTTCCACAGTTTACTTTGCTGTGTGTTTGTTTAGTCTAATGTAAATTATTTTCATCAACCCTTTACTGAAATAAATTGTAGCGTAGCCATTTTGCTGTGACATCATTTTTTAAAACCGCGACTCGTATTTAGTGGCAGTGTGTGTAAATACTGGCCCCACCTCGCAGTGTGCGGAACGTGCACACGCGGCGTGCGGGCACGCGCGCTGCACGCCGCGTGTATACAAATACTGGCGCGTTTTATTTCCACGTCCGACCGCAACACACACAAACACACACTGGTCACACAAACAGGTATTGTTAACGTTTAATAAGACATGCCTGAATATTGAACTGGCCGTGTTCAGTGAAATGTCATGCGAGTAGTCACACGGGCGGTATTCACGGCTAAATTGAGTTTTGTGTTAGTGAGCAATTGTTCTAGTGTGACCAGCCTCTACCTAGCCATGCAGATACGTGGTATGTGAACACAACTAGCCCTGTTGTTTGTTATGTTTCAGCATTTGATGTTCAAGTTAAGGGGAAACTCCGTCTAAAAGCAAAAGTTTAATGCGATGATAATATATTAGTGAGGCATTAAACAATAAATGGAATGAGATGGGAATACAATCCAGTGTGTTGTGGCGCAATGGGCGGCGGGCGGAATAAAGAGAAGCTGCGAGTGTTTGATCGCGGTTCGAGTCAGCACTGCGACGCGACGTACAGCGAGGACACCCGGCACTCATTACTGTCGAGGGAGAGTAGATACCTTCTTCTTCGTTATTATGCTGTTGTTATACATATATTAGACGATAAATCTAATATGTCCTTATTTGTTAAATCCTACAGTAAAGTATCTTAAAACAATAAAATAAATATCTACCTACTTTTCATGACATATCCATTACTCGGCATTCAGAAGCATTGTTTCGTATCATAAACAAGTTAATTTAATTTTCACCAAATGAACATTTACTGAGAATTTAAGTAAAGGGAAGGCGTCCAAGTCTCTTTTGAAATTGTAATCGTTTATGTTTAGAATAAGGTAATACTAATAAGTAATGTAGTAAAGTTGACAATAAATCGTTTTACTCCGTCACTCGACTCGTAACATTCACAAGTAAGAGCTTTTATTTACACAAACATCATAAAAGTAAGCTGTCGAGTTTATTTGCCAGGCAGCGCCGCGCCGCCGACTGCCACTCTGCCAGAGTGCCGCTCAATTGTAACAATTATTTCACACTCACTCTTCTAAACGTTGCCATGTATTCATTGGCTGTATTAAAGTTATTGAACTAACAGTCATAACTTTAAATTCATGAAATATCTACATCAAGTCTTTAACACTCGCACGTAGGAGACACCTACTGCGGCACGGCTGGGCCGCCTCGACCGGAGTGACACCACGACCTCACAAAAATCCAGCGTGAAACAACGCTTGCGTCGTGTTTCGTCGTATCAGTGAAAGCCAAACCCTTCCTATCGCCAATCCTCAAATCCCCTAACTCCAAAAATACAGCAACGTACCATGGTCGGTGGAGATTGTTTATAAGAGCAGGTGATCTGTCTACTCGTTTGTCGCCAACAATACACTCAAGCACAAATAATTGGTCACCGTGTTTGTGGCATACATAACTATGAATGTATAAGTATGTGAGCGTGGTACTCACCGAGTCACCCTGCGCCCGAGTAATTTCCGGAAACAATACGTGTGTGTGTGTGTGTGTATAGAGTGTGGCGCGGTGGCCGCGTGCGTGACTACAATATATCGAGGATGATTAGTTTGTCGGGCCACGGACGACGCAACCACGCCGCAATTAAAATGTTGCCCTAAATATAACATCAAAGAGATATTTCGGATTACGTTTATCAAACATTTTTAAAATTAATAGATTTATTTTCATCAAGGAATTCGCGCAGCGTTCCACCGGTTGATGCCACCGTGCAGGGTTGTTGTAATATTTATTGTAAACATTAACGGTTAATACTGTTTACGATTTTTAACACGGTTACCACCATATGAGACATATCCTTAGCAAAGGCTTTGTAACTAATGGGAAATGCCTAAACCATTTTTGCTCAGTTACATTTCTTTCCGTAGACGTGAATAAACGAGATCCAATAGACTAGGACTTCGCAGTGTTAACGGGTATTATATGTATGATAAACACGATCACGTTCTGATGTCAGTTTTCATCCCTTCGCACTTCATATTTACGTCCCCGCGGCCGACGCGCGACGCCTGCAGTCACCGCGCCGCCCGCCGCGCAGTGTGCTTTATGGCTGATCCGCAGCTCGTTGCTTCAGACTATTATTATAACACGGTAATTATTAGTTAGCTTATGGTGTGGAGTTGTGCTGATATAAACTTCTATTATTTATGTATGCTACGGAGGTACTTTAGTATGGACGACAGTACTTCCAAATTCATAATTTTATTAGGATCTTTAATTTCAACCTACTTTTGTGCGATACTTATTACCTGCAAGGCCAACGAGAATGACATCTCTACAATATCTAACTTTTCAAGAGCATCTCGTTACTTCTTGTAAATAAAAGAACAATAATGCGCGGAGTCCTCCCTTGCGGAGGTGGCAACAGGAGTCCCCAGTAGGGGCCCGGGGACAGGTCGTAACGTGTCAATCAACCTACCACTTTTACTGCGAGCCCCGAAATAAAATTAGGTAAACGAGCATCTCCGAGTTTTACTTGACAATAAAAAGAAGTGCTTTCGTCTTATGATTCGACGCCGAGGTACGTAAAATGTTACTTGATGATCTACCTCGTCAGCTGAGACATGTTCTGGTCACAGGATACCCCGGCGGATACGGCGGATGTTCTAATATGTAATTTGTTATTCATTTGTTATCAAGAGGAAAGGCAATGTAAAGCCTCAATAGTTAAGTTAGTTGCTGTCGTACGCCATTAATTACTGCAATGAAGGGGATCCGAGATATCGTCGTCATACAACCTGTTACTTCCCAACTAATGTTACAATACGAGCTCACAAACTTGCTTCCCCGGCAGTAACGAGCGCCGCGCGACGAATACTCGCCTCGTGTCATACTCCAGCATTAATCTTAGTCGTAGCACTGAGAGCTACGAGCTACGAGCTACGAGTTACGAGCTACGAGTGATGCGCTACGGTTTAGCTTATAGGTGCCTCCGTTTGCGAAGCAGACTTTTTTGTCAGACTCCGATAAGCCCCCGGCTGTGTCCGCGTAGAAATTAAACATCAAAATGAAGCTCCTCAAGTCAGTCGAAGTAGATATACTTACAAACAAACATCATCTTCTCTTAGTCATTATATGGTAGTATCAAGATGCAAAAATATGCAAAACAAAGCTGCAGAGTAATGAGTAGTTGAATACAAATCAGGTGATAACTAGCAGCAGACGGAGTCAACCAAATGTATACTTGCTCGTAAGTATGTACTTTAACTTATATAGGTGCTCTCATATAATAATGGTTTGTAAGTGTTGTAACCATCCTTATCTTTATAATGCTCTAGTTAAATTCACTTACGACTCATAATCGGAAGTTTATCCATAAAGCTGGGTTCACACGGAGCGACACGCGACCTGGTGCTCGTTAAACACATCTACAGGTCGTGAAAGTGACGCCATGTCGTAAATTTCCACAAAACTTGCGATAGTCGCGGCCGTAGTGAGGCAACTTACTGATTGTACGTTCAGTGAAATGTCCCCTAGTGACTGTTGCTTTGAATGATAAGAGATTGTTTAGTTTGATTTAATGACACGTTAATGTTATTTCGCTTTCAATCAGCCAGTTTATGAGTTTTACGAGTCACTGGCTCCCCCAGCGACATAAAAGGGGGGGGGGGGCAGACAGACCGCATTGCCCTGCCTGACAGTGGATGGACAGGTCTAGCTGGACTGTTTGAGTGCCTCTGACGCAGGGTACAATGGCCATCGTGCACGAAATGCGTCACTCGCATGCACAGGTCATTCGTGCAGCTTCGGAATGACGCGTGACGGCCGCATTCAATATTGTACTCCATTACAACTGCGATTGATCTTCCAAGGAGCTC